ACCGCGCTGATCCGATGGCAGGAGCCAGGAGCCAGGTGCTTTTCCTGGTCTCCCATGGGGTGCAGGGCCCAAGCACCTGGGCCATCCTCCGCTGCACTCCCTGGCCACAGCAGAGGGCTGGCCTGGAAGAGGGGCAACCGGGACAGAATCCGGCGCCCCGACCGGGACTAGAACCCGGTGTGCCGGCGCCGCTAGGCGGAGGATTAGCCTAGTGAGCCGCGGCGCCGGCCAACCATATGATCACTTTCTACAACTGTAACTTTGCAATTTGAAGTACAACAGCACACATAGCAGAAATGTCTTTTTCCTTCTTAAAATTTTATGGATGGAAGATTTGTTTGTTGCTACTGTATTTGTTGCAACCTCAGTGTATGCCCTTTTTTCTTTTTGTGTGAAATTAAGAGCTTTCACTCCTCTGCTGAAAGGAAGCTCTTTGAGGTTTCTCTTTGACGTACCTGAATTTGTTGCACTTTGGAGCCATTGTTAAGTACAATAAGGGTTTCTTGAACACAAGCACTGTGATACTACAGCAATAGGTCTGTTAACAAAGCCAGACACTAAATGTCAAATGAGATGCACTGAACAAGGGATGATTCAGAATGCCCTGAGCAGGATGGAGCAAGACAGCAGATTTCATACAACTACTCAGAATGATGGGCAATTATAAGCTGATGACATGTTTATTTATTTCTGTTTTCCATTTAATAGTTTCAAACTGCAGTTTGCCACAGATAACTGCAACCTCCTACAGTGTAGGCACAGATGCATCAAAAAAATTTTTATAGAGTTGAGTCTCCAGCAATGATAGAGTAGTGACTATATTGCATGTGTCTGGCCAGAAGCTCCACTTTTGCATATTAACTCATCTTATCCCCAAACTGGTTCTATGGGATATTTGCTATCACTACCTTCAGTTTACAGAGAAGAAAATTTGGAGAAGGTAGGTGAGTTACTTGGCCAAGTTCACTGTGGTTAGGTAGCAGAGCCTGGAATTGAACCCAGGAAGTCTAGGTCACATTGACTCAGGAATCCTGAACTGCCAACTCTGTTTAAAAGGGAAATAAAATCAGGCTTCCCATTGGCCTTTTCTGACCTAGAGTTGTCATTGGTTCCAGATCCAAATACATTTTTTATTTAAAGATTTATTTATTTTATTTGAAAAGAAGTATTACAGAGAGGGAGGGAGGGAGGGAGAGAGAGAGAGAGAGAGAGAGAGAGAGGTTTTCCATCTGCTGGTTCACTCCCCAAATGGCCGCAAAGGCTGGAGCTGCGTTGATCCAAAGCCAGGAGCCAAGAGCTTCTTCCAGGTCTCCTACACAGGTGCAGGGGACCAAGGACTTGGGCCATCTTCCACTGCTTTCCCAGACCACAGCAGAGAGTTGGATTGGAGGTGGAGCAGCCAGGACTTGAACCGGTACCTATATGGGATGCCAGCACTGCAGGCAGCAATTTTACCCGCTACGCCACAATGCCAGCACCACCAAATACATTTTGAGAGCCATCACAACACCATGTTTCCTTCCTTCCCTTTATTTACACCAGTTGTTAACAGGATTCTTTAATTTGTGTCCTCTGCTAGCATATAAACACTGATAAGGGCAAAGTCTTTGTCTTGGCTGCATCATTGGGATTAGAACAGTTTTGCACATATACTAGATGCAATATTGTGTTGTTTTATATAGAAAAACATAGATATGTATATATATCAGTATATACATAATCCTAAGTGTATATATATATGTATATATATATATATATATATATATATATTAGGTGAATAAATAATGGTGCAGGGCTGCTGAAAGGCCTTGAAGAAGCTATGTGTAGACAATCTAACTGCAGATTTTTAGGCCAAGAATGCTTGTTTTTTTTAACTCTTAATTGATTCAACACTTCACTCTTGGAACATTGGCCTTCTTTCCCAGACATTGTTTATAGCTTGGGGAAATGGTCTCCTCCATCAGTACAAACACCAGCTGCGATTTGCATCTTCTATTTGGCTTTATAGATGCTGTTTAAGACGTTTGGAGTGAGTGTTATAGTCATTGTTACAGCATTAACCTGGAAATGATTTCTCCAGCAGATTCCATGGAGAGCCTCTCTCACACACCCTCCTCCCTGCAGCCATCCCCTGCCAGCTCCCTTCCAACCGCCTCTGCTGCCAGCTCCTCCTTGCCAAGAGATGACCCAAACACTAATACCATAGCCACTGAGGAAACCAGAAGTGAGTCAGAGTTTCCCTTTCTTCCTGATTATCTGGTTCTGTCCAACTGTGAGACTGGAAGACTGCACCATGCCAGGTATGCTTACACTCAGCCTTCTGTGTGACCTGGGCCTCCTAGCATGCTATCCTCTGTTCACATAACCCATCACCTCCTCTTGCAGAGTCCATTGCTGAGATACACTCAAGGTGATTGACCAAATCAGTCTATTTAGTGGTAGCCTATTCTAGTGGGCTTGTCTGCTCTCACCTCTCTTCCTGCCACCTCCAAGGCAAGGACAGATCACTATCAACCACTATGAAAGATGAAGCATGCACCATACTAAACAAATTGAGTCATGTTTCTCAGCAGTGTGGCTTTCATTTCTAACTTTGTGTCTTCATTTCAATCTGATGCTTATAGTGTGAAAAAAAGCCACAAACCATTTTTTCCCCTGCACCAAGGTGTTGGTGTAACATGGCTGTAGAGGGAATGTGGTATATGAATCGTACAAAAGTGGAAATGGAGGGATGAGAATCAGGCCAGCATGGGCTTTGTGGTGGGTCGATGGCTACATTTCGGTCAAACATACCTATTTCTTTTCCTTCAGTCTACCTACCAGATGTGATAGCTGGTCAAACTCAGACCGCTCATTGGAACAGACTTCATTCGACGATGTTTTTGTTGACTGCCTGCAACCACCACCCTCCAGTAACTTGGTCCACCCCTCACGCCATGGGAATGGATCTCAGGAAGTGCCTTCCACGAGGCCTCATGCTGCTCTTTTCTGGAGTAGAGAAATAAATGGGCCATCCAGGGACCACTTGTCTTCTTCATCACTATTGGAAACTTCTCTAAATTCCACCATTCAGATAGATAGGAACCAAGGTTCTTTGCCCTGTGGGGCAAAAGAACTAGACATTATGTCCAACACCCCTCCTCCACGGCCCCCTAAGCCAAGCCATCTATCTGAGCGGCGCCAAGAAGAGCAGGTCCTGTGGAGGGGGCACAGCAGCAGCAAGAACTCAGAATGCACTACGGCTCCAAGAAGAATCTCTCTATCTGGTTTGGACCATGTGAGGTCATGGAGAGGTAAGTGTCAGATGCTAAGTTTCACATGCAGACAGAGCTTATGCTGATCCTTGGGGGCCTGGCATGCTCAGAGCTTGCAGAGAAGAGGCTGGTGGGTTTGCTGAAAAATAGAAGAAAGGAGCTGGAGTCTGTAGTCTCAGAGTTCCTTGTGCATGTGAGAGAAGTAAAGAAGAGAATGGAATTGAGCTGAGACAAAAGACATCATGTTCTGTCCCCAGTGGGTTCCCAAATCACTCCAGACACTAACAGCTCAGTCTCAGGTGGGAAGCCCACCACAAAGGCAAGGACTGATGTGGGCAAGCCTATAACAAGGGACCAAGACTAAGTAGACTGGAAATGATAGGCAGGCAGCTGGACATAGAAGTGTGCAGTTTGGGGAACAGTCAGGGATGGTGACAGATGTTTGGGAGTCCATGTATGGCATTGAAAGCCCTGAGCCTGGATGAGTTCTCAATGGCAGGCCATGGTGGGTGCCCAGGGAGAGATTTCACATATTCACAAATTGATCTATTACATGATGCTTTTGAAGAGGTCAACTTGTAATTTAATTGACAAAGATCGTATATATTCAACATTTACAACATGATGATTTTGTATGTGTCTGAATTGTGTAATGACTATCCCAATTGAATTAGTTAACATCATCCATTCTGTATATTGGATCCCCGCACTGACTAGTCCCCGTCAGCCATTTGTTTACCTTCTATGAGTTTGACATTTTTAGATTCCACATGTAAATGAATTCATATGATTTTCCATGTTTGATGTATTTCACTTAGAAAAATGTAATAAATGTAATAAATTAATCCTTCATGTACTTACCATTTTTGTGACCAAAACATGTTATGATCATATGATATTTACCTTGATATTATGAAGAAGTTTATTGTTTTATTTTTGAATGCTAAACCAATCTCACATTCCTGGAATTAACACAACTTTATCATGACGAAGCAGCCTTTTTATAAGTCACTACCTTTGTTTTACTCATATTTTGTTTTAAACTTTTTAAAATTAGTGTTCATTAGGGAGAGTTAGCCTATAATATTTTTCTCATAATGTCTATCTGGTTTTGGCAAAAATGTTATTCTGACCTCATAAAGCAAACTATAAAGCTTTTCCTCTTTTTTAATTCTCTGGAAAAGCATATATGTAATTGGTATTATTTCTATCTTAAGTAATTGGTACAACTTACCAGAAAAACCTGCTGAGCTTGAAGTTTGCTTTGTGGAAAGATTTTTCAATTAAGAATTCATCCTCTTTAGTTGGATTTTCTATTCCTTGTTGTGTACCTTTTGATAAACTATATTTTTTCAATGAATTTGTTCATTTCACTTAATTTTCTAATTTATTTCTTGGATTTTCCAGAATATACAGTTGTAATTGTATAGGATGTAACCCTTTCTGATTGGTTTATTTCAGTTAGAACTATGCATTTAAGCTTCCTCTGTATCTTTTTATGGCTTGATAGCTCATTTATTTTTACCACTGAATAATATTCTGTTGTCTGGATATACCATATTATATTCACCTACTGGTAGAAGACACTTAGTTGCTTCCAGGTCTGGTAATTATGATAGAGCTGCTGTAAACATTCATGTGTAGGCTTTTATCTTGAGGTAAGTTTTCAAATCCTTGACATACATACTAAGAAACACATCTGTTGAAATGAGAATTCCTATTGCTCCACCTCCTCCCCAGCATTTGGTGGTGTCAGTGCTCTGGGTTTGGGCCATTCTAGTAGTTGTATAGCAGTAGCTCATTGTTTCACTTTGCATTTCCCTGATGACATATGATTTGCAGCATCTTTTCATACGCTTGACTGCCATCTGTATGTCTTCTTTTGGGTGGTGTCTTTTAAGGTTTGCAGGCCATTTTTAATAAGGTTGTTTTCTTTCTTATTGCTGAATTTAAAGAGTTTCTTGGGGTTGGTGTTGTGGCGTAGTGGGTTAAGCTGCTGCTTGGGATACTCACATCCAATATTAGAGCACTGGTTTGAATCCTAGAAACTCTGCTTCTGATCCAGTGACCTGCTAATTCACCTGGGAAGCAGGGCATGATGACTCAAGTACTTGAGTCCCTGCCACCTGTGTGGAGTTCCTGACTCCAGGCATTGGCCTAGTCCAGTCCCAGCAGTTGGAGCCATTTGAGGAGTGATCCAGCAGATGAAAGATCAATCTCTGTCTCCCTTCCAAATTAACTAATTAATTAATTGATCTTTAAAAAAGACTTTCTTGTATATTTCTGGTAACAATCTTTTGCAAATATTTTCTCCTAGTCTGGCTTATCTTTTCATTCTCCTAACAGTGTCTTCCATACAACAGAATTTTTAATTTTAAGGAAGTCTAACTCATCAATTTTTTTTTTCATGGATTATACCTTTGGTGTTGTATCTAAAAAGGCATCACCAAACGAAATGTCATCTAGATATTTTCCTATGTTATTATCTAGGAGTTTTACAGTTTCTCATTTTATATTTAGGCTTATGATCAATTTTGAGTTAACTTTGTGAAGAGTATAAGGTCTGTGCCTAGATTCATTTTTCTTTGTTTTTACGTGTGGATATCCAACTGTTCCAAGCACCATTTGCTGAAAAGATTACCTTTGCTTCATTGAATTGTCAAAGATTAGTTGACTGTTTTTTATGTGGGTCTATTTCTTGGCTGTCTGTTCTGTTCCATTGATCTGTTTTTTTTTTCCCCCACCAATACCACAGTCTTGATATCTGTAACTTTATACATAGTAAGTCTTGAAATCAGATAGTGTCAGTCCTCCAAAGTGGTTCTCCTTTAATATTGTGTGAAGCATTCTGGGTCATTTGCCTCTCCATACAAACCTTAGAATCAATTTGTCAATTACACAAAATAATTTGCTGGGATTTTGATTGAAATTGCATTGAATCTATAGATCAAACTGGAAAGAATTGACATCTTGACAATATTGAGGATCCTATCCACTTACATGGAATACCTCCATTTATGTAGTTTTTTTGATTTACCATATTTCATCAGAGTTTTGTAGTTTTCCTTAAAAATTTTGTGCATATTTTGTTATATTTATACCTAGGTATACCATTTTGGAAAGTGCTGATATAATGCTACTCTCATTTTAATTTCAAACTCCACTACTTCATAACTGGTATATAGGAAAGTACAAAGGTACTTCAAAGTTCTTGGAAAGATAGAATTAAAAGGTACTGGTAGAAACTCAAAGTATCTACTGATATGATCATATGATTTTTCTTCTTTAGTCTGGTTGATATGAATTACATTGACTGATCTTAAAATGTTGACTGAGGCTTGCATACCTGGAATAAATTCATTTGGCATAAAAATAACTTTATTTTAATGTAATTTTTAAAAGATTTATTTATTTGTTTTGAAAGGCAGAGTTACAGAGAGGCAGAGGCAGAGAGAGAGAAAGAAAGAGAGAGAGAGAGAGAGAGAGAGAGAATCTTCACCCGCTGGTTCACTCCCCAAGTGACCGCAATGGCTGCAACTGTGCTGATCCAAAGCCAGGAGCCACGAGCTTCTTCCAGGTCTCCCCTGCAGGTGCAGGAGCCCAGGAACTTGGACCATCTCCTACTTCTTTCCCAAGCCATAGCTGGATCCAAGCTGGATTGGAAGTGGAGCAGTTCGAACTGATGCCCATATGGGATGCCAGCACTGAAGGCAGCAGCTTTACCTGCTATGCCACAGCACCGGCCCCAACCATGCATATTTTTAAAAAATATACATTTTCCATGAACTTTTTAAAGATCCATCATAGACCATCATGTCATCTGTGAACATATGCATATTTTTATTTATTTTTATTTTGTTTCATTAACTAGTAATTCCAGTCCAATGTGAAAAGCATTGATGGGAGGGATATTCTTGCTTTGTTCCTGATTTTAAGGGGAAAGCTTTGAGTTTCTCACCATTTAGTACATTAGCTGTAGGGTTTTTTTGTAGGTATTATTTATCAAGCTGGGGGAATTTCTTCTATTTCTAGTTTATTAAGAGTTTTTATTTGGATTAGGTGTTGGATTTTGCAAAATGATTTTTCTGTACATATTGATATTGTTATGTGATTTTTCTTTTTTAGACTATTGATGTGATAAATTACATTAATTGATTTTCAAATAGTGAACCAGCCTTATATACCTGAAAAAAAATCCGACTTGACAAAAATCCTCAACAAAATGCTAGAAAAATCAAATCCAACACCACATTGAAAAGATGACCATGGTGCAGTGGGATTTGGGCCAGTGTTGTGGTATAGCAGGTTAAGCTGCCACATGTGATGCTGGCATCCCATATCACAGGGCTGTTTCAAGTCCCAGCTACTCTGGTTCCAATATAGCATCCAGCTAATGCCATGTGGAATATGGTCCAAATAGTTAGGCCCCTGCCACTCATGTGAGAGACCAGGATGTAGTTTCTAGCACAGAACTGGCTGTTGCAGCCATTTGGGGAATGAACCAGTAGATGAAAGATGTTGGGGGGGGGGTGGAAGGGTGGGTGTGTGTGTCCCTCTCTCTGTCTGTCACTCTGCTTTTCAACTAAATAAATAATTTTTTTAAAAATGAGATTCATCCTAGGGATTCAAGGATGGTTTGACATACACAAATCAATAAACATAAAGCACCACATCAACAGAACAGAGAACAAAAACCATATGGTCATCTCAATAGATGCAGAAAAGGTATTTGATAAAATTCAACATCCCTTCCTGATAAGAATTCTGAACTATTTAGGTATAGAAGGAATGTATCACAGGGCTGGCACTGTGGCTTAGCAGGTAAAGCCTCCACCTACCGTGCCAGCATCCCATATGGGTGCCGGTTCAAGTCCCGAGTGCTCCGCTTCTGATCCAGCTCTCTGTTGTGGTCTGGAAAAGCAGTAGAAGATGGCCCAAGTCCTGGGGCCCTGCACTCATATGGGAGACCGGAGGAAGCACCTGGCTCCTGGCTTCAGATTGGCACAGCTCTGGCCGTTGTGGCCAGTTGGGGAGTGAAG